TTTGTTACTGCCTATCGCGGGGATAACTTTAATATAGTTGTTTCATGGTTTCGGGAAGCTATGTTGTGGTCGAAATAGAAATATTTCCAGTCACCGATGCAAACGTTGGAGTCTTCAAATACTTCTGTTCGTGTATTTTCCTGTCACTGCAAAAACCTTTGATGCGATATTTTCCTGTGAACACCGTGAAGGGCTGTCTTATTTGAAAAGTGCACCGTGGCTTGATTGTAATGGCACTTCACATAATTGGTTGCTTATTTTGGGTTATGCTTCGTTGGTTGTGTTTGTCATTGGCATCCCTCTTTTTATTTTCGCACCATTGTTGTACAAATACTTAAACAGTGAAGGCCAAACAATATCCCAATAGATTGATAATTGGATTAAACCGTTGTATGACGAATTTAAGCCACCATTTCGACGATATTTCCGGTTAGTTTTCCTCACCCGCCGTCTTCTACTTGCAGTATTCTTAACCATAGTTCCAACTACCTCCTCTTACCAAATTTTAAGCATAACTTTGCTTCTCGTCACCTTCATTATCATAACTCTAGTTTTCAGGCCGTACAAAAGATATTCAGAGAAATTCGAGTTTGAAACTTCGGCCGATGTGTTTGTATCTATTGTTTTGCTTCTTTCCTTTGTTAGTTTGGCGTCTTTGCGACTTTCTACGAGACTTGACAACTCGCTTGTATGGTTGATTATTTCTACGAATCTGGTCGTGGTGTCATGTTGCTTGCTGGGAATTGTTTTGTTGTTTTTGGTTAACCTTTGGAAGTCTTCAAATTTACAAACTCAAAACATTTAATTTGAACCAATTCTCAATTAAAATTCATTCTTCTGCTATGGAGTGGCAGACTGGCAGACATTGCAACGGCAACAAAACGTCCGAACGACGACATTGCTAGATTTGACACATTATTACTGGTACGCCATGTGGGCACAGACACGGAAAATAAAAACACGTAGTAGAGAGTTTAAGCTTCGCGTTATACATCAAACGGCAAACGGCAAACGCCAGGCAAAGAAAAATTTTACGGCATCAGGCAATAAAGAGTAAATAAACTCGCTGTTTTAAAACTGAAATACATAATTTTTCTTTGGACCAAGAAAGAAAATATGAAACGAAATATGAACCGCTCCTGGAAACGTGAAGCTTAAACTCTCTATTGTTAGAAAATATGGATTCGCTCTCTTAAGGGTCGTTGAAGTATGGGCATCTTGAGTACACAATTGTTTTGAAATAGTCCAATAGCAATATTCACTTTGGTACTTTTTCTTTGAAACTCTTGTTTAAATTTCTGAAAATACTGTAGCGTGTGGAGATTAGTGTGTTGCATGCGTAGGTGCCAGGTGGAACATTTGATGTCGCGCTGATATTAATTAGGAAAGGCGTAGATTCGTTTAGTGTGTCTGGCATGTCATATATTACGTGACTAATGATTATAAACTAGGTAAATGTCTCGCAATACCTTACCCTATAAATTTACTACATTATCTCAATAAATTGTAAACTTCTCTAAATGTTGTTAGTATAGTAACTTACACGTTACAATACCAAACTAATTGTGAATATAAACTATCTAGAAAAAGCTTGAGTCATTAAAATTGATGCCTTACAATGAAAAACAACAACAGCAACAACCAAGCATGGCCCGTATTCTACTCTGTCGGTAGAGTAGAATGCTACTTTGTTGGCAGAGTAGAATGCGGTCCATGCTCACATTTCTGTGTGACTGTCTGTCGTGTATCTGAAATCAGTGTTGCAAGTTACAACATAAATTGCCTCGTGTAACATGTCTTAAGGCTAAAGATATCTTTCAGTATTTAGGAGGGGTTGAACCACAGGATGCGCCCAAGGCTTTAACGTTTCCTACAAATTTCTCGTACAAATTAGAAAATCTACATGTTATTTTGTTTAGTTATTGTGTTTCACTTATTTCATCCGATAAAATTTTAATCATACAATTTTATACAAGAAAAATTTATACCTGCCTCCTCCGCAGGCCCTTATTTGTTGTACATATCAGTGGTATATATAGATACATAGGCGTACCGGGCGGGGGCGGTGGCGGGGGGGGGCGGTAGCCCCCCCAGTTTTTTGGGCAGTCGGGCAATATTAGATCAACAGTCGGGCAATTTTGGTCGCCGAAATAATTTTTCCGGAAAAAATTTTTTAGGTACTTAGTCGGGCACAATCCCGAAAAGTCGGGCAAATTTCTTTCCGTCCCCCTATTTTTTCCTTCCGGTACGCCCATGTATAGATAAGTGGTTGGGAAAAATCTGTTGTGATGTAGTGAACTTAGCGGTGCTACTCTCCCCTGAATTCACTAAAGCGACTGGGAACGAGGCAGGAAATTTACAATTATACGGCCGTAATATGTCTAGAATTTTACTAAAAATCTTTTGCCTTTTTCTTTAGGTGGCTTTACTTTCAATCCAAACTACTGTCTATCATTCTTTGCGTAGTTCAGAAATTCCCAATCCACTTTTGGGATAATTTAAACTGACAAATAGTCGGCTAAATTTTGTCCACTTGAATAGTTCAACTTGAAATTGTTTGCCAGTGGGAGTGTTGAGAAATAACATTGTTGCGTCGCAATCCAGCAACAGCTCAATTATATCACCATGTTTCCAGTAATACCCATTATAATCACCATTGTTCCCCTTTCCGTGAATTGTGATACCGTGTGACCCGACAGAATAACCAAAGAAAAGAGAAAGTGTGGATCTTTCGAAAGAGCTACATGACGGTATAAATTGAGAAGTCTCAACATCTGCGTTGATTACACCAACATCGAGCAAATTTGAACTACCATAATCTTGCATGTTATTGTAAAGCACTAATTTTAGTCAAAACACTCCGGAATCATAAATATATGTTCCGAAGGCAAAGGCGGTGACGCTTCTTGATGCGTTGTTGTGGCGAGGAAAGATGGCAAGCCGTTGCTGCCGTCCATATCAATTTCACTGCAATGTGACATGAACGTACGATTACTTTCATAACTGGGAAGATTTCCTCTGTCAGTCCCAGATGTTGGACAAGATGTTTGAAACTTTTTGTTTCATTTGAACTCATTTTCGGTAGAAGAGCAGGATTTTTAGAAGTTGATATTTTGACTAGGATGGTTGAAAGTGTCTGCGAGTAAAGAACGCTCGACCTGACACAAAGTTGAACGTGTTGTTGTCATCCTCTTTCCGCCAACATTTAAATTAATAACATCATGTCCAAGTGATTCCATTTTGGTAAGTTTGCACATAAGATTAAATGACAACTTATTGACACAAGAGCATGCCTTTAAAATCGTTTCTAGGCACTTTTTGAGGTCACAGCTAACGGCCTATCAATACTATAAGAAAACTTGTTAAATTTACATTTATTCCAGGAAGAGTTTAGGTTGTTTTAAAATGAAAAGGAGGTCGCACAAAATATTAAAATAATGTTCACTTGGCTAATATAGTATAATCAATTCCAACGTTGATGTAAATCCTTATTCGTTGCCGGTATAAATAATTTACAGCAACACACTAGTTAGCAGGTCTCTCTCTTCTTATTTTAGTTATAAAGCTTGGAACGAAAGTTTTATTTATTTCAATCGTTTATAATCACTACGGCATCTATAGAAACGATAATAATAAATAGAAATCACAAAAGTTGCTTTCTTTTTTCTTTGAAATCAAAGAATTAGACAAATCGGGACTGACAGATCTGGTTAACTAGTGTGCCATGACTATCACGTAAACATCCGCACACTATTTGCATATAGGTGCACTTACTAACAGCTATACCACACTTCATTTAATTACGTTAGTTGAATCACTTCTGAGATATTAGACGTTCATCTTTTTGCTGCAAACCTATAAACACAACCAGTTACGTCATAACACAAAAACACAAAATTATAAGTTGGGAACGAGATGAGCTGTGAATAAATTCTTCGTCATTTTCAATGTATTTTCAAGTAATGAATAAAAATAGAGCAGAAACTTTCGTGTTATGCGCACTTTAATCAAAGCGGCAATACTCTTGGATAAATTACTAATATGCTGAATACAAATGGTACACGCCTCTTTTTAACAGCGAATCCGTGTATATAGGCCTGATTCTACGAGTGCTTTTTCTCCGCGAAATGCGAAAAATTACTTCTGCCAATTTTACAAAATTTAGTAAAATCAAGAATCACTCATATACAACTATTAATATTCGCAAACACAATTTCTCACGAAAAATTGTGCTATTGTGGAGCCAGACATTATGAGGCAACTACCTAGTGAGCGATAGATTTACTTTCTCGTTATTCCCGCAACCTTCAGTCGCTCCTACCACGTACAATACTGCTCTTTCAAAACACTAGGCAGCTTAAGATGCACCAAATCTGCGACGCGGACGCGACTAAAAAACAGTCGCTAATAATGGGAGACTAGTTTTACTTTGTTTTTCGTGTCCCTGGCTTTGTTTACCAACAACAATCCATAGATAGTTTTTACCCGTGAAGTGAGACTGTGATAATAGCGGCAGTTTTTCGTTACGTCCGCGTCGTGGATTTGGTGTATCATAAATTAAGCTCCCTACTAAGCATTCATGTCTTTGACGACGTATACTTAATTGATTAAATAAAGTACTTGATGTAATTATAAGTATAAGTAGGTCATAAGCAATGGGCCATAAGCGAAATACTTGGCGAGGATACGTATCAAAATCGAAATATATATGCATTTAATTTCGACTCATTTCAAACAATCCTGGACAAAACAGCTGCGATTATTTGACAAAATTTCGCCATATTATGGCAAATTCAGACCCCCTCCACCTTACCCCAACCATTCCAAGTTGATTGCATTCCCAGAATACGGTTAAAGCAATTGTGATACGTCCAATGTTGGTTTGGGTAGGGAGTGTTTGTTTGGGGGGGGGGGGCGCCCACGAGTAAATAACTCAGTCTAGTTTAATAGTAAAAAGACCCAATGGAATTCTTTAATAGACTAGCTCTTGCATACCGATAACAGTAACATAAAATAAATACAACACCTTTGCATCTACCTCGTTCAGCTGCTATCAAATTAAAGTCCAATTAAAAAGTTACAACTTTTAATTAATTTCCCTTTATACATTCAGCGACAGGATAAAGTAAGAAGGTTTTTACGATTATACGTTTTTATTAATAATGACAGTTTATTTAAGCGAAATTTTATTTAGCGGACAAAAATCTTCCAAAAATCACCAGCAGAAACCGCGTACCCGTATCTTGAGATGTAATCGTCGCATTCCCAACGCCCGTTGGCCACGTTTGATACGAGCCAGTGAGCTTTGACACGAACAAATGCCAAGAGGTCGAACAAACGATCATTAGACTGGCGTCCTGCATGATGCCATTTACCAACATAATACCTTGATTGACTGTAACCCCATTTAGAACATTGGCTTGCAAGTATTGAGTTGTCGTCAGAGAGGCGATAATAAGATCCACAGGAATTGGGGAAAGTGTTTGTTTGGGCTGTGAAATATTGAACGACGTGATGACCAAGGCTATTGATTTTTGTAGCGATATCAAAAGAGCGTCCAGGAATCTTCTTGCGGCAAAAAAATCTGAGTTGTTTGAACGACATTTTTGTTCCCAGGGCACGAAGAGCATGTGTTGAAAGTCCGAGCTTCTTGTTGTTGTATTCATGGATTTGGCGATAATCGTTTGCAAAGGACCAATCCATTCCTCTTGATTGCTTGAGAACAATGTTACTAATTAGTGTCCAGCCACCTACCAAATAAAAAAACAAAACAAATAATTTTACTTGGGGTAATTATCATATAACACCTTATTCAATTGCTACCCTTTCATGGTTGTAGATAAGAAGCGGACGGATAAAATGCGGACGGCGAAGCATTTTCTAAACACATGCATAATTACTATACCTAAATTAAAGTATACCAGCCTTAGATCTGTGAAATGAATGTGTTTTCAGCCATTCGAATTTTTAGAAATGGAATTTTTTAATCAATACGTATGTATGATAGGAGGCTGCATGTTGGCCGTCTTTCGCGTGAAATTTTTGGAAATAGTGTAAAAAGCGCCTTAGGTTTTGTGCTTCTGAATACAACATGTCTTACAACCCTCATTGAATTAAAATATTATTAGAATTAAATATCATTGTATTTAATTTATTAAAATATTATTAGAATTAAATATCATTGAATTAAATTTCATTGAATTATCATTGAATTTTAATATTATTTAAATATTATTAGACTAATAATGAAAATAATCCCCGTTTTACTTACTAAAAGGCTAACACGTAGCCAAGATCCATTCATGTGAGTGCTTACACATTACTATTCCACTGTATATAAATGTAAAACGAAATTATAACCTTCCCTATAGCTATGCCCTTCAATTACATATAATAGAATACCCAATATTTACGCTGCCCATCATACTTGACGTTATACATCTATACATTTTTCAAACAACTTTTTCCACTGATTACTGTGTGACAATTACATATATACTAGATATTATATTATATCATATTTACATAAATATGTAGGAGGAAAATATCAATAACTCAATATAGTTAAAGAAATGACAAATATATACAATTGTAAATATATACAATTGTGAAAGTTTGCATGTCTTAACTTTATAAAAACTTCTCTTAAATCATGATCCATAGCCTATACTCAATACCAACTACAGTAGAACCCCGCTAACTCGAACTCCCAAGTGGAACGAAAAATTGTTTGAGTTAGCGGGGGTTCGAGTTAACAGGAGTTGGTGTCAGATTTCGTTTATTATGTTAATAATTAATAAGGTATAAAAGTTTTATTATACTGTTCATCAAAATTACAAAAAGTTTAATTGTGCATCCCTAACTAAATTTCTTTAGGTATCTTTGATCGTTGATCATTAGTGTCTTACAGTTCGCGCGTTTATTATATTCGCTAACAAAGAAAGAATCGTGCTTTATATAAACGATGAAATAGATCAGTACTATACATGTTCGGCGAAAAATGATTGAATTATTCCTCTGCTTCTTATTTTTCTGAATGATTCGCTCTGTTAGCAAAGATAACTGAGCGGTTACTTGGCGAATCTCCTCTTCTCCTTCATCCACAAACATACTGTAAGTGAGCATGATATCAATGGACTGTCTCACTTCACTTGTATAGCAGGTCGCTTAGGGGCGTCATCTAGCATTTCAATATCGCCGTCATAATCGTCGTCAACGCTGGCGTCTGTTTCACGAAACTCTGCTAGGATTTCTTCATCAGTCAAGGATTCCATGTTCGAGGTTAACACGTTTAGATCTGTACCGATTACATCATATAGGGTTACACAGGTTGACACAAGCTCTAGCTCTGGGGAGCTTTCTCTCAAAGACTCCAGCTAGCTCCTCGCTTAAAAAACTGAATGGGTCATCAGCGTCACAAACAGCACTTTGCTGCGCTTCACTGCCAATGCCAGCTTTCTTGAAGCAATTCCGAACTGTCTCCGCAGTTACTCTATTCCAAGCGCCAGTCAGGATCATCATAGCATCCAAAATGGTGAATTTCGGAGGTAACATTCCCTTTTCTACACCGTCAATGTACTTGCGGACAGTTGCTCCACGGTAAAACGCCTTTATTGATCTGATGACGCCTTCATCCATTGGTCTTGATCCATTGCGTCTTGCATGTTGTATTCGGTGGCAGGAACACCAAATTAATAGCCTTCAGGTTAGATATGGTAGGGTGGGCAGGGCAGTTATCTACAATAAGCGCTACTTTTCTGCCTTCGCATTCAAACTTACGATCTTGTTCACGGACCCATTCCTCGAAAAGTGCGCTGTCCATCCAACTTTTCTTTTGAGACCGATATCTACATGACAAGATTCTAACTCCTTTGAAGCACCGGGGTTTTTTCGACTTCCCAGTGACAAACATTGGTAATTTCTGGCCTACTGCATTACCAGCTGCTAGGCCTGTTAATCGAACTTTACTGTGCTTCCCACCAACACACTTCTCTGATTTCAGTTGCAATGATTTGTCCGGAAGTGCTTTATAAAAGAGGCCAAATTCATCTGCGTTGTATATGTCTCGAAGCTCATAGTTTGAGAGAATAGTTAGAAGAGTCGATTCTTCCGATGACGCGGTCATTTCTTCCGTACACGACTTGGCTTCACCTGAAACAGTTTTGAAAGATATTTTATGCCGACCCTTCCATCGCTCAAACCGGCCATTTGATGCTTTGAAGTTTTCTATGCCTAGTTCTTCAGCATACTTTATAGCTTTCTCTTTTAGTATTGGACCGTTCACGGGTAATCCCTCGTCCCTTACTTTTACAAACCATTTGTAGACCGCGGAAAAACGTCTGCGCATGCACCAAATTATGAAAATATGGCAGGGAATTTGAATATCAATTTCTAAAACAAAAACATGCTTATTAATTGGTCAAAAATTAGTAAAACAAACGAGAAAATATAGCAAATGGGTAGACTAGACATTAATTGAAAGCGTCCTGGCATTTAAAGTATGGAGTAAAATATAATTCGTGTAAAAAATTGTTGATTTTAACGGACACGACTTCGAAAATTTTTGCAAAATTATTCAAAACAAAAATTCAAACTAAAAAGTTAAGAAAACTCTCGAAAAGTTAAGCTTCTCAACCCACTCAAATTGCAGATTAAAGCCTAAAGTTTAATTATTGTGAACACGAAAATTTTTTATATTTGGCGACACAGTTTTTTTTAAAGAAATGTATCTCAAACGAAAATTCGGAAATTGTCGTTGCTTAGTTGATAAACAAAATGTTTCAGACGATAAATTTGTCAACAACCACCTTTAGTTCATGGTCTTGTACAATACAATTTCTTGAACCTTCTGGCTGTATTTATTCCTAGTTTTTAGAATGACATGTTTATTTTTGCGCTCGAAATCTGGCTGTAAAGACGCACAATGAAGTCACTCCTTTTTACCGCCATTTTGAGCCTTTGGAAACGTTCGGAACAGCTACTCATCAAGTTCGTAATACTATTACAGGTAAGGTTGACGCATGCGCAGACGTTTTTCCGCAGTGTTGGTTTTCATAGTTACTCGATTTTAACTTCTGCGTAGAACGATTGTTTCCGCTCTCAAAAGCAATTACAATTTTTTCTTTGTTTTCAACCACGCGGATAAGGTATTGCGAGGTACATTATACTCAGCAGCGACGTCCTTTTTTGGAATGCCACGCTCGATCTTCTTGAGGGCTTCATACTTGGTGCTTAATGTTTTAGTGGATAATTTTCGCTTGTTTGTGCCCGATATTGTTTGACTAGTTTCGGCGCATACTAAAGAGAGCAAAAGCACTATCATTTGACGCATTCCCATATATGCATTCTCCGGTTGTCACCTTAAAATGCGCTCTGAAAGGGCTCTCGAATTTCAATGCAACACTCGTTGTATCAAATATTTGCAGCTTATTTGTTGAACACCAGTACAGCACCGTTAGCAGCGAAAAGAAGCTGATACAGCAATGACTTCACTAATTTCGTTTGAAATCGAAACCTTCGTCAAGGGATATCAAGCCTACCAATATGAATGGCCACCGAGAATGGACGAAGTTTTAAAAGCAAAGATCGAGCTGACAAATATTGTCGATAAATATGACTTCAATGATGGATTCTTGCACTTCACTTGGTGGAATTAATGTTAGAATGTTAGGGTTTGTAATCCAAGTGAGAATATATACATTTTAAGACCTAACCAGGAACGACTGCGAAAAATGCAGCACAAGGTCCTCTGGTAGGAATTGAACCTACGGCCCTGCGATTCCGGTGCAGCGCCCTAACCAACTGAGCTACAGAGGCCAGCTGTTAAGCTGTAACCGTAACTTCATGTATATATAGGTAATCGGGTGTGCGGGTTGTGATAAGGCGGACTTCAATGATGGATTCTTGCACTTCACTTGATGGAATTAATGTTAGAATGTTAGGGTTTGTAATCCAAATGAGAATATATACATTTTAAGACCTAACCAGGAACGACTGCGAAAAATGCGGCACAAGGTCCTCTGGTAGGAATTGAACCTACGGCGCTGCGACACGGCCCTACGCTGTGTGTATTCTTCTTCACGACAGAGTTGTAGGACATTTAAAACGAGGGAAAAGTGGGCGCTTTGCTAAATTAAAACAATCTTCTACTTTCTGCGAGCGGACACTTACAGTTCATGCACAGTTATCATCAAAGCAAAGCTGTTAACTTGGGTGACGGAGAAGGCATGCAAGTTCCATGCAAACTGAAGTTCTTTGGATAGGAAAAATATGTAAAGATTTTACAAAAGGAACTAAAAGAACTAGATTAATAACAATCGTCGCACTATATGCATATCTTTTAAAATTTATAATCATTTATACACCGATGAAATTGTTGTTATTTGAATAAAACTCCAAGTTTCCGGTTGTAAAAATGCTATGTTCTGACATTTTAAGGTGTGCCGATCTACGACTCGAAAACAAAGTTCGAGTTAACGGGATAAATTTGACCAAGGGAAAACAAAATTTGTTCGAGTTAGCGAGGAGTTCGAGTTAAGCGAGTTCGAGTTAGCGGGAGACTACTGTATAATAATAATAATAATAATAATTAACTATATTTTTACAGGTTAACTTGGTCAGCTATATTAAGCTGCTATAAATCAAGGACCTGTGTTTACGATAAAATTTAAATAGATAAAAAGTGTAAAGCTTCATATTTACAAAATGTTTCGAATAGTTATTGAGAATAGTGTTCAATAAAAAGTGAGATGTCTCTAATTTACGAAGCGTTTCTAACTTTCTAACAGTTAAAAATAATGTTACATTGTTCTTTAAATCTCAGTAATGAAGTTTCTTTTGTTAGACTGTCCGGTAGTTTGTTGTATTGAACTGCTCCTTGGAATGCAAATCGTTTCCGTGCAGTTTCAGTTCTAACTTTTGGCAATAGCAGTTTGTTGTTATCTCCACGGGTGCCTTTTCCATGTGAGTGCCTTTGGAAGTATGGCTCATAGCATTGAGGTGCCAAGCCATTTAAACATTTAAACACTTCTATTACACAAGCTCTGTTTCGGATTTTTTCCAACTTTGTCCAATTATTTTGGATGTTGTTGCCATAAGCAATTTTGAAAGCTCGTTCTTGTACTTTCTGGAATTTTTCGATCGAGCTGACTGTGTCACCGAGAAATAGATTATTACAGAATAAAAGGATTGGCTCTATCATCGTTTTGTAGATTGACTGCGCAACCAATGGGCTGATGTCACGTCGTATGCGTGATAGGAGTTTAACTCTTCTCATAGCTTCTTTATATATCTTGTCTTTGTGCTCAACATAGGTTAAGGATTTATCCATTTTAACTCCGAGGTATTGATACGCTTGTACTTCGTTCACCGGTTCGTTTCGAATCATAATATCCATTTTCTCGGCTTTTGACAATTTGTTAGGTGTGCCGTACAGGATGAATTCGGTTTTTCCTTTTTTGAGGTTGACGACTAGGTTGTTTTCATAAAACCAGGTGGCCAGTTTTGATAGATCCGAGTTTAAATTTACTTTAATGGTTTCTTGATTTTTACTGGATGTAAAGACCACTGTGTCGTCAGCATATAGTAGGATTTTACAGCTATTCAATTGGTAATCGATATCATTAATCAACAAGATGAACAGCATAGGTCCTAAGATGGAACCCTGTGGCACACCACAGACGACAGGTTGGCTGTTAGATTGTGTGCCATCGTAGATTACACGTTGACGCCTTCCAAATAAATAGTTCTCAAACCATGTTAGTTCTTTATCTTTAATACCGTAGTGAGATAATTTGGACAGTAAACGACCATGATCCACTGTGTCGAATGCTTTCTTCAGATCGATAAAGACAGCGCCACAGTATTCACCTTTGTCCATACAATCCCTTATATGGTCCGAGAAATAGGTAACTGCCTGTTGAGTCGATCAACCTTTACGAAATCCAAATTGGTTAGGGGAAAGCAGACAGTTTTCTTCCAGATAGATAGATAGCTGTTTGTGAACAACACGTTCAATAATCTTTGCTAATACAGGCAAGACGGAAATTGGTCTATAGTTATCCATTGATGATCGGTCTCCCGACTTAAAAATTGGTGTAACATTTGCCAATTTCTCTACATCTGGGAAAATTGACTGTCGTAAGCATAAGTTTATCAAAAGCACAAGTGGGGTGGATAATTCTTGGGCACCGTCTTTAATAAAGGATATCGGGATATTATCATATCCTGGGGCTGTGGATGATCTCAACGTTTTTATAATAGACAGTATATCCCTTTCAGTCACTTCCTTAAATTTAAAAACGCAATGATGTGGGTTTATGAGATATTGCAATCTTTGATAGCTGTGGAATTGCCAATGTTTCTCTGTTAATGTGACATAGCATTGTTGAATGGATGTACCAATTCCAATAAGAAAGTTGCAAAAAGCACTAGCGATCAGATAGCTATCGGATATGAGTTTTCCTTCAACGTCAAACAGCTTGTTTGGGGTTTCCCCCTTATTTCGGGTTGGGTAGCATTTCTTTATTTGATCCCAGAACTGTTTTGGTCTGTTAACGTTCTCACGAAAGACTGAGCGATTATAATTTGCTTTATGCTGGCGAATACATTTTGTGACACTATTTCGTGCTTTGCGATAATTACACCAGTCATATTCTTTCCCACTCTTTCTGGCTTTTTTCAACAAGTGATCTCGCTCATTCATTTTCTCTTTTATTTCATGGGTTAACCAAAAAATCGTTCAAGAGCCTTGAATGACAGCAGCACTAGGAGGTTCAGAAAATTATCGGGCGCAATGAAAATCCACCCCATCAAATGGTCCGCCCCTAATACATAATATTTCTAAAATCCATATATAGAATAGTCGTCGCATGCAAATCGATCATTTCTACGTGTGAACCTCTTAGGTTTATAATTAAAACATTCAGCA